TTAAATGTGATGCATCATGATACTTAACCCCCCTCATGATACACAGCCATAAGAGTTTACCACTGGTTGTAAGGGAAAATATCTTTGTACAGAGTTCCTTGCTTGTTTCAGAGGATGAAATGCTTTATAGAGCTTGCGGTTATTGTTTATTTTATAAAAATCTGACATCAAATGAAATTAAAGACTTTCTGGAGTCTATTGTCTAGGACCGTTTTTTATCATTATTTGTAAGGTGAGTATTAATATCCAAGTTATTCCTAGAATTTGTTGTCTGGGACTATTTTCACCATCTGTCGTCTGCTCATGACATGAAACACCCCAAGAGTCATTTATCTTGTCCTATTAATATTACTTAAGTAAGTATAATAGCCATGATTTACCACAAGTCATCTAAAATATTAAGGAATAATATTCTCTTGGTGCTAATGATAAGAATTTTGCATACATTATTTTTTTTTAAATGCAAAATTTTTAAACAGTGTTGGGATATTATTAAAGCTGGGTTGTTAAAACTGTTCCAAATGGTAGGTGAGTGAAATTCTGTGTATTGGTTTTATAGAAAAATTTAATTTCAATTTTTAATTATTAGTGAGAGTATTTGTGTTTCAAGTACATTGTAATATACTGTATAGCGGGAATTTTTAGCGGGGTGCTAACTTTGGCTTATTTTAGGGGTTTTGTAGTAGACCACTAAAATTTTTATCGTTAAGTTAACACTCTTGCCTATAAGTACTGATTACAAGTAACTTTGATCAGTCTGTTGTTAAACGTTATATCTTTCAACTGGCATTGGTATATGCTCAAATATCTTGTGAAAATTGGTATTCAAATGTATATTTAACGTACTGGAGTTGCCTGCATGGCGCAGTGGTTAGAGCGTCTGCTCTAGAGTCGCAAAGTAAGGAGTTGATCCTTACGTCGCGGGTTCGAATCCTACTGTGGGATGTGGAGACCGGTCCATCAGATGAGACCGTACAAACCGAGGTCCCGTGTCGCAGTAGGTGTTGGCACGAAAAAGATCCCTCACTGCTCAATGGCCATAAGTGCTGAGTATAGGACAAAATTTGCAGCTCTCCACCGGCAAGTGGTGGCGTCTCCATATGAGTGAAAAATTATCGAGAGGGACGTTAACAAACAAACAAACAAACGAAGTCATGGAACTCTGTGTCCGCCAAAAAAAGTTCCACCAAAATTATTGACATACCTTTGAGCAAGCAAAACGCCAAATTTTACACCTGCTTATTTGCTAAAGAAACCTGCTATACAGTATTTACTGATAATACTGATAATACCATCAGTAAGATACAGTTTACATGCTATTGTCTATTAAAAGAACAGTTTACGTGGTTTACAGCCTTGATATTTAACATTATATTAAGTAAGCTTTCATTTAATTTTTGTTTTCAATTCTTTTCACAAAGAACTACCTGGTAAGAGTTTTCATCAAGTAATATTTTTAGTTGTCTGCACTGTGATCTTTCAAATAATAAAAGATGAAATTTGTTGTCTGCCAGCGGAGCATCATCCTATCAGAGTTTGTGATAATGGTAGGATTTGTCAGGCATTGATTTTTATTTAATTCTACAAGACTTTTCATCAAGTCAGTTTTTTTTTTTTTAGTTATAATGCAAAGATATTTTTGCTGTGAAGTTGAACATTCGTGTCAGAATAGTAAATAGTAATAATACCAGAATAGTAAATAAAGAGGGATAATTTGAGCAAGCACATACATGCATTATTTAATCTATTTACTTGTGAATGCTGTGTTTGTTTATTTGCTGTTCAACATTTACTCATACGGAGATGCCAACACTTGCCAGTGGAGGGCCGCAAATGTAGACCTGTACTTGTCAATGGGAGCCATTGAGCAGTGAGGGATCTTTGTATTCTCTGAATATGTGAATTTAAGTCTTCCTCTCTAGAACCACTGTTGAAGAAGTGACAGATGCAATATGGCATTGTACAGTGTTTTGTTTAAGTTTGAGTCTTAGTTTGATTACCTAAAGTGCCCCCCCCCCCACCAGGGAGAAAATGAAATAGGACCCATGTTTGCAGATCTATGTACACTGTGGACATATTTTAGAAAATGTTTGGATCCTCCTCCGCCTTTCATTTACAAAAAATAGCAATCAAAAATTTCCTAAAATTGCTTTGTAAATCAGAATAGGAAACAGGAATAGAAAATCTTTGACACCCCCCCCCCCCCCCACACACACACACACATTTTTTTCTAAAATAACCACTTATTTTAATAAATCGCTTCGCAAATATTCTGTTGTTCATTGTTTCTTTCAAGTTTATTAAAATCCCCATCCCTCCAGGTCATAATTAAAGGTTTCAATTTCTTCCAGTATTCATAAAAATCTTTTAATATTTTTCATTAACAAGGGTGTCAAAACACCTGAACATACAGTAATATATCTCCCTGATGTTTATCTTAGGGATAACATGAAAGTATGAACTTCATATTCTTGTATTAAAAGAAGCAGAATTTAGCCAGAGAAGGGGTCTACATTTACTGTAGCAAATTTGACATCCCATCAACAGAGCACTTGACATAATCTAACTGTCTTGTTAAAAAGTCATGGCTCATCCAGACAAATTGAAGATGATTTTCATGTGTGTCTACAATTGTGTTAGCTCATTTACACAGCAGACACAATATATTTCCAGGAAGCTTCGCATTGACATAGCCTAGTGTGATTATTGGATTTCTGCATTGCTAGTGTTACTTTTGTGGCAGATAAATAATATTTCTGTAGATGCCTCTGTCTTGTAGTGGTACAGTCAAGATTAAGAGTCCTTAAACAGGACGCAAGACATCTTCTTTGTTGCTGTTTTTGTGGAGCAGGAAATCGTTGCTTCATACATTTCATGGGTTTCTAGGCCACCTAATTCAATTAAAGGCAAGTTTTATTAAGTATTTGCAGTGTTTGAGTTTCCTCTGATATGTTTTTTTGGCTATTTTAAAGTTTAGTTTGGACAGAAAATAACCATTTTATAATTCTATAAGTGTTGCATGAGAATGACCTGTGCGAGTTATCAATATACAGTTGAACTTTGGTATTTTGAACACTGATATCTTGAATACCATGGATATGTCAAAGTGATTTGGAAGTCCCAACCACTTATTCTATAAGTAAGGGGTATTTTTGTACCTGATATTTGGAATCCTGGAATATCTCAAAGTTTTTTATTGGTCCCATCAAGTTCAAGATAACGAGGTTTGACTGTATTTATTATAGTACATATGTACATGTATTACTTTTAACTGATCTGTGTTCATGTTTAACATCATCAGCAATAAGTTATAAAAGAAAAAAATGGTCTTGCTGTCCATTGCTGGCTAGTGAATTTGACAAAGTTAAAACTTTAATCTTAAGGAAGGATTTTTGTCAGGTTTCTGACTAATTAAAGTATTGAAGTATGTTTAGAAATGTCCTTTATATTGAGTTTTTAGGACTTTAAAAGATCAAATTTTCCTGTGCTTATTTTAACTGAACAACTTGACATATGAATGGCACAATGAGTTTAAAATCTAGCAGGAACTATTTTTTTTGTGGAACAGCAGTGCAGGAAAATATCACAACTTTTGCTTTTAAATTTACTGCAGAATCACAGATTTAAACAATGAAAGTAAGGATTTTCTGAGGTGAATGAAATTTAGAACTAGGGATTTGGTTTGAAAATATACAAAATAAATAATATTTTTTTATACAAACTAATAAAATTGCAGCAATCTTGTTAACATTTTTAAGCTTTCAGTCTTATTAACAACTATGAGTGAAAAAAAAATCAGTAAACATTGTTTTTAACAATCGGTATTTTTTTTTTTTTCATTTTATGATGGTGTATAAAGTCTTCATCTGATGTGAAAATAAGAAAAAAATTAAATATACTTAGAAGCATAGGAAAAAAACAAATTATTTATCTCAATACAGTAGTTTTATCTGATGGACTTTATGAGGTATTTCTTATGTAAAAGGATGAACATATAATATTTTAAATAGAAGCAGGCATAAGATGATTTCAAACAGTACTGTAATATTTAATTCTCAAGGTCAAGGACAACCATGATAACCTTCACCTGACCTAGCTACTAAAATAAGATGGTCAATTTTAACTGATATGATACCTATTGTCTTCTTGACTGTGGGGAAATTTCATGAATTTCTGAATACAATAAATATAAGAATAATCAATCCTTATGCAATGTACTTCTTCAGTCGTACTTGGTATGTATGATGTATCATTTATAGGGAAAAAAAATTGTAAAACATAAAGTTGTGAATTTTCTTTTGAGTGATAATTGTGAGTATTCTAAACCATGTTGAAACTCTTCCTATATAATCACCACAATATTCAAATTCTAGTGAGGTATTCTGTTCAATAGAAGCAGAAGAAGAAAAAAAAAACAAAGAAAATGGATACATATAGATACAGATGGCATTTTATAAAAAATTAATTATGAAAGGTTTTGAAAACAGAGTCCACCAAAGAAATAGATTTGATAATAAAAATTCTGACCTTTGATGTTGCTGAGTCTAACATTTAGATCATTCTGATACTTAATCAAACTTGTTTCTTCAGAAATCACATTGGGGACTTGGCTAAACTGGTCACTTATGAAATGAAGTACATGTATTTAATTCTTTTGACATGGAGGATCTCAGTCAATATGAAAGATAATTAATATATTTCTTATACACAATTTCCCAGTATTGATTACAATGATATTAAATTTGGAGGTTACATTTTCCAGTCATTTTATAGACAAGTGAGAGATATGTAGGCTATTGTTGTTTTTTCTTCTGTATTAACCCCTCTAAGCATGCAGAGTTTATGCATTCACTTTTCCAGCTGAAGACTCTAATAAGTCTGTCATGAGTTTCAGAAATATGGAGCCATTTGATTTTGTTTGTTAATTGTCAGGTACTTTAAAATTTTTCAGTAAGTAAGTATGTTAACATGTTTAATAAAAGGAGAAGTATATGTAATGAATATTAATTTCTTTTTTTTTTCCAGGTGAGCTATGAGGAAACATAAGCTACCAATCAGGTAAGTTCTGCTGAGAGGTAAAACACGCTAGAGTTATATATAGTTTGTATATTATACGATAAATGTGAAATATAGTTATTGCTTAAGATAGGAAAAACATTGGTTGACACTAGAAACTGTGATTGGAAGAAAATTATTTAATATTGATATTGTATAAACAGAATAAAAGGTAAATAGAATTATTGCTAAAGATAGGAAAAACATTGGTTGAGGGTTGACACTAGATACTGTGATTGGAAGAATATAATTTATTTTGTATCTTAAATAGAATAAAAGGTTAATCTTTAAAGTTTACTAGCAATGTGCCCCAAGTTTCAAGTATTGTTTGATCCAGTGAAAGTGAAAATTAAAAAAAAAAAAAAAATTAACGGGAGTGAAGTTATTTTTTTTTAGTGTATCCTTAGGGCATTCTTACAAGACTTTGCTAAATTAATCATAAAGGGCTCCATATAGTAAGATTCATTTTGTAAGTAGAGTCAAACGTCATTATCTCGAACTCAACAGGACCGAGATGAAACTTCGAGATATCCGAGGATTCAAGATAACAAGGTTAAAAACATAAGAAAAAGTGGTTGTGAATGTCACTTCGACTTATCACTGGTATTTGAGATATCAATGTTTGAGATAACGTAGTTCAGCTGTATATCTGTTTATTTTTAATTTTTTAAAACTATATTATCTTTATATATCTGACTTATATTATTGAATATTTAAATTATTGTTTTAAATTACCAGATAATGCAGGAACTTTTCTAGAAAATGGGATGCATTTTCACAAAACCCGAACGGAATGGTAGACACAGAAAAATTTTCCGTGTGTACAATGTTGATGAACACGGTGAAGAATTGAATCATGGGAAGATTGAAGTAACAGATTCCGATCTGATACTGTATCATCGCCAGAAAGAGATCCGATGGCCCCTACGATGTCTGAGGCGGTACGGATGGGAAGAGGAATTATTCTCTTTCGAAAGTGGTCGTAGATGTGCGACTGGACCAGGAATATTTGCTTTCAAGTGTCAGAGAGCCGAGGTACTGTTTAATACTGTGCAAGAATCCATCCGTAGAGCAGGGCAGAGTGAACAAAGTGTGCATCATGTGGAAAATACTCATAACAATAGTCGTCCACCATCCATGATTGAAATCCCCGATTTTCAGAACAGGAATGGTAACCATTCAAACGGAAATCCACACCTACCCCAAATGAGTATGGAAAATTATGTCAACCAGGTAACAGTCGATAGTAGGAGCCAGTATGCAAATACTATGCCCCCCGCTAATGCCACCCAGAGTATATTTGATATTCTTCACATGGACGTTCCTCAACCAAGCCAGCCCGTACCTCAGCCCAACAGTATCAATTACACTGACTTAGTGTTCACGTCCAGTGATGATAGTTTGTGTAATAATGACAATAGTCCGGAGCCAGAGGAGGGCTCACCTGTGAATACAGAGGATGTGTTCTTAGATGACAATGTTCAAAACTATGTGAATGTTCAGCCAGATAAGCAGCCGGCTAGACCTCCACCCCCTGTCTTAACCCGTAGAGACACCAACGGAATGACTAATTATAGTAATCAGTCTAGTCTGACTACAATGGACCAATCTGGTTGTCTGTATATAACGGTGGACACTGGGTCAGTTTCTGCCCCCGTGGCCCCCGCTCCACCTGCTCCAGTAAGAGAGCAGCCCCCCACGTACGCTGTGATAGACATAGCTAAGTCAGAAGCCCTACAAAATACACAGAGAGACAGAGTCAGTAGTCGGTGGGAGGAAAATGATAACTGCAGTCGCAAAACGCGGCACAATAGCACGTTCGACTAATTGTCAGTTAAATATGGAGGCATTGAAAGGATCCATTATCAAGGGTAATTGTTTGTAGTCATAAGTGATATTAACCATTTTGCCATCCAGAAGGAGAAATTGTATTCTTCAAATTCATTATCTGAATTACGTGTTAAAATACAACATATTTTGTTTTATTTCTCCATAAGTATTGGCCAATGTATTTGTCTAAAACAAAGGTTGTTGAACATACAGTTGCACAGTCAAATTGTTATTTTGACAAGTCTTTCAAAATGACACGTGAAAAACTTTATATGTGTGTATTTATGCTTTCATTAGAGACATTTACATAATATGTCATTTTTTTCTTTAGTGTTTTTTTTATTTATACATCCAGGTTGTATAATATAATTAATTAACTTTTTTTATTTCTCTTTTCATGACTGTAATATCTATATTTAATTGGGGAAAATTCTTATTGGTGGGTGGTCAGCTATGTTGTTGCATGTTTTATTAGACGGTATCTTGTAAAAATATGTTTGAGATCAAATACTGTGATTCTTTACTAAATGAGAACAACTTGGTACAATGACAGAGGGTAAATAAGTCTGGTTTTTATTGTAGAATAATCAATAAACCCATTGTTTAAGGCACTTCAAAAAATTAAAAAAAAAAAAAAAATAGAGGAAAAAAATAACTTTTATTTATAATCTATGTTTGATAATCTTTAAATCATAATATTAAAATTAATAAATGAAAATAATATGTTAAATGGTCTCCTGAGTTAAACATGTGACTTGTTTATTTATTTATTTTTCTCTTGTTTTCATGTTTTAGACTTGTCATCCAGACTCGAAAAGATACACATTTCCAAATTTAATTTTCAGACATCCTCATGACATTTAGAATCAAGTTTGTTTAATTTTTATCAGAATATGTGTGTTTCGGAGGATGTGTCATTGTACATTAACTATATTGTATTTTCAAGGAATTTTTTTTTAAAATTCCTTAATGAAGAGCAAGGTAACAAATTGTCAAATTAATTAATATGTGAAAAATGTTTTTTATGAAGCATAAATTCAGATTTGTTCACATCATGCCTTTTGGACGAAGTGAGGAAAGCCACATGCAATGTATCATGCGATGTATTAGACATAACAACACAAAATGTAAATGAGAAAATTTGCCATGTGACACTCAGATGACCATATTGGGCCCCTCATTTCTTTTCATTGTTTGGTCAGTTCCAGTAATGATAAAAAGAAGATTATTATTTTGTGCTGTTTGAAGTTCCTGTTGCCCCCCCCCCCCTTTTTTTTGTCATTGCAGCAATGTTGTCTTATGTAGCTCTTTTGATATGGTGTAAAAATCAATTACATGTACATGATGTATAAGCATGTTGTTAAGTATTAAAGTTCGTGTTTGTGTGAGTCTTATTGCCAAACTTTTGAAAAATATTAAGCATTAAACCTGAAACGATTCTGTTGGTAATATAAGACGTAGAAATGTAGTGCCTTCAGAACATTTTAATAATAATTTTAATTCAGATTCTTTAAAAAAAAAAATTTCCTTGACTTTTTACCTTTATATTTTGTTGTTGAAATCTTAGCCACTTGTTAAATCTGCAATTATGAATGTTCTTCCTTTTTTTAAAAGTATTTTACTAATGCATTTAGCTGCAGTAAAATTTCCTTTCTTATGAAATCATTATTTCTACACTGAACTCAACTCTATGTAAATATGTGTTGTGTATTGTATTCTTTGTTGAAACCACATTGGGCATATTGCAGCATGTGTACCTTGTTTTCACTCTAAGCTAGTTTTTTTTTTCATGCATAAGAATTGAAAACTTTGACATAAATTTACTCAAAACTAAAAATGAGTTCTGGATAACATGTAAACCGTTAGTTATAAATAACTGTGTAACATGACAGCTATTTCTCTTTTACCTTTGTTGATTAGTTTCCAGTGCAGATTTGTTCAAGGGAAACCCAAACACTGTACCACTAAGTAGAAGAGAGCCTGGATCATGTAATCTATATTTTACATGCATATGAAATTACAACATAATAACATTTTGTCAAAAGGACGAAAACATCATTTCCCAATACTGTAATGTGAAAAAAATGAATAATTTTGATTAAGTTATTTGATATATTTAAAAAGTTCATGTTTTTTCTGGGACAACACTCGTATTGTATTCCATTAATTTACAATATTAAATACTTCCCCATTGTTTTCATATCAAAAGTTTGGTTTCATCTCGGCAGTTTCTATAATTAGGAGACATACTTCAATTTGCTATGATGTGTTTTCTCTTTTTGATATCTCAAATGGGACAAATTAAACTGATGATTTTAATTTTAAGGTGTAATTACCCCTTAATATTTAATAATATTATTCATTGATTTTTCTCTCACTTTTTGTGAATTTTTTTTTCACTTGATAGACGTATGATAAATAAAAGATCATAGGCATAAAAGTAGCGCACTTGAGGTTTGGGTAATATTTTCCCAATTTTCTTCTGGTCTTGTATTGAATCATTGAACCCTTTGAGCTTTTGTTGTCATTTCAAATTGTGTAATTTTTTTTTATTAATGTGTCAAACAGCATGCAGAATTTTCATGAAGAGGACCCAGTGTGATAAGAGCAGGGTATCCCCAACATGATTTTGAATTTTAAAAAAAAAATGAATATTATTAATTTTGGGAGGATTGTTTATGCAGTTTTTATGCCAGCTTTAAATTGTAGCAAAGTTATCTTCCTGCATCTGAGTTCTTCACAAATAGAAATTTTACAAGTTAGGTCTAGGTGTGTTTTATGTATTTTTTGAAATTTAAAACAACACAAAATATATTTATATTTTTGTCAATTATGATTATAGATGTATCACCCCAAAAACAAAGTTAACGAACAAAAAAAAAAAAAAATCAACATGATCAATTACAGAAAAATTTAACATATTTTTGGTACACAAGCATAGGGGTTCTAAAGGAACAAGTTGGTGGTACAAATACTGTATAAGGGGAAATTTTTGCCCCTGCCCTTTCACCGTCTTGGTCAGTGGATGAATTCCAAATTGGAAGAATTCAACAGAGACCATTTTATGTCTTGTGTATCAAACTCTGTGTGGGCAAATTCAAAGAAGATGATATTGTTTGCAGGTGTGATAATATGAAAATTATGAAAATAACCATGTTAACAGTTAATAAAATTAATGGGGTGTTGCACAGATGATGCATCCTTGCAAAGGAGATTCCTTTGTGAAATGCCAAGAATTCTTTCACATTTTGTATTGTTTGATCTTGCTGATTTTTCAAACAGTTCAAACTGAAATTTTCTTTATAGCATATTCTCTCATCTTCACTAGCCAAGGGTTTCCGGTCCACTACGCTCCCCATAAAACCTTGGCTTATGGGGAGCGGAGTGGACCAGAAAACCTTGGCTAGCAAAGGTGATATTCTCTTAGCTGTGATATACAGCATGTACAATGCTGATGGGGAGGGAGGGGGCATTTAAAAGTGTGATTGAGTTAGGTTGGGAGTACTGGTGGGTGCCCAATGTGGTTTCTATAAATTTCTCTGTTTATCATAACAGGATGTCTAGCAATAACTTCAAACATTTATCTGTTGTTAAATGTTACATGATACATTTGTTAATATTACCAATTTTTAGACAAATGTGTATGTTCAGTGATGATACGTTTTTACTGAACTGTAGTCGATCATTATAATTCCTTTAATTTTTGTGCTTTTTTGTTCCATTTGTTTGTTTTAATGGTATCCTTGTCTTTATAAAAGCCCATTTAGCCTGTTGAACAAAATGTGTTGTACTGGGGTAATTATAGAGAAATTTATCTTTTCAAATGATATGATCTTAGTTTACTGATGTAACTATTTTGTATGCACCCTTGTTTCTAATTCAAAAAGACAAAAAACCCACGTAACTTCCCTTTTTCACTGTACAGGCCTGTATTTATACAATGAAATCAAGTATACTGTCATTCTATATAATTCACCACATTCGTTAATATTTCAGACTGAATTTGGTTTTGAAGAAATTCTTGAATCTGTTTTAATGCTTTTGGTAATTTAAAAATTATTCTTTTATTTATGTATACATCATGGTCTTTGTATTTGAAAACAGCAGTTTTTCTTTAGAAAGATTCTTTTATTTTTGTCTTTTTCTCCCCGTGCACTTTTTTACAATTCATATGACTCACAAATTTTCAGACGTCTACTTCCATCCTATATGAAGATTCTTAGACGAATATAAATTTAGCTCAAATTTTTCTCAGCCATACAGATAATGTGGTCTATTTCCATAAATGTAGTTCTAGGCCTGAACTAGTCATTGATTATCTAGTTAGCATGGAATTGTGGCCTGCACTTTTACTTTAGAATTCTAGTTTCCTTCAACGTGATAATGACCTTGACCTTATTATTTCTTCCTGCATTTTGATTCTTTTATAATTATGGGGTTCTCCAATAGGAAATGAAACATATTATTTAATTATTAATAAGCCCCTGCATTTTGACACTGATGTTAGACATTTGAAACAGTGATATTATGTTTTATTTCTTTAGTATATTGATTCTTTTGTTCCATGTTCAGATGGGATGTATAGACGGTGTCGTAGTAAAGTCTATTGATCCCTTCTGTTGAGTTAGGATAGCCACTATAAATGGGTCAGAGATGGACAGCCGAGAATGATAGGGGCAGGGATTCATGTTCTTAGGGGGGTAGAGATCATAGAATCATAACATCTTTACATTTTTTATGACAAACCACTCAAGTATTATTTGGTTGTGAGGATATAATTGATGAAAGTATTTTGGTTTCATTAGAGTGAAACAGTCCATCCTTGTAAAACAAATGAATATAATACTCATGTTAACAGATCCTCACGAAATCATTGCTGACATTCTCTAATCCCATCACTATACATTATATGAACCTTTTCCTGTGAATTTATCTATAGTATTTCCGTAATGATAAAGACATTGCTGGATCAAAAAATGTTGGGGGTTTCTTATTCAAAACTTTGAAAAAGGAAATTTTGTTGCAATAGAAATACCAGAAATATATTTAGTTTTTATGTTTTAATTGTAGTGTATCCTTACAAAGGCTGCTTTTAAGAGAAAATCAGTGAATAGAAGTATTTTTTTTTTCATATACTTTTTGTTCAACAGCTGCAAGTATCAGCAGTATGGTGTAACTTCGGTTTTTCACAGTAGAAATTAGTTTTAGGACTATGCCCTATATTTAGTCAAAGGTCAATGCAATCTACAAAACATGATATTCTGTACTGGCATATACAATATTGATATGCTAAATATTTGTGTTCTTACAAGTAGGTTCAAGTGATTGGACAATTGTTCTAGTTGATTTTTCTCCTTGTGTTCAAAATAACCATTTCAAGACCAGAAAACACTGGATCTGTTCAGTTTAAATCTTTGCAGTCCCATGTAACATCCTGCTAGCAATATCATCTGAAGACCACAAAATAACATAAAAATGTAGTTATTGTTTAGTATATGTAGGCATTGGGTTTGTTCTTTCTGACAAGCTTAAACAGAATCCAAGTTTTTTTTTAGTTTTTTGTTTTGTTTTTATAACTAGTATTATTTTTGAAACCAAACTGGGCCATACATGTATTCCTTCCAAAGGATGAGCCCATTGT